AAGGGGTTATGTTTCAGAGAAGAGTTTCAGTCTGTTTATCATCAGGGCTTGTGTCAGAAATGAGAAAAACCATACTCCTTTTCATCAAAGTGATCATAACAAAGAGACTTGCAGCTGCATTAAGCTATCGAATTGATTTGGTGGTCGTATGTGTCTCCCTTTACTTCCCTGATACTTTTTATGCTTTTTTCCCCTCCTGTCCTCCCAACTTCCTGCACCCACTGGTGTCTTTTACAATTCCTTACAGTTTAAGGAGCAAACTTCCTGTTCAGTGTATGCTGAACTGGATTCTGTAGCAGCCACAGCTCATCTGACTATAGCATGTACATGTCCTCTGGTAACAGGCCTAGGGGGAGAGAGTAACTTCCAGACTCTCTCTCTCAAGTTCCTCTTTTCTGCCTGTTCTCCAAATGGATGCACAGAAAATAGGTGTTAAGAATGTTTGCAACAGTGAGAAATTGGAGAAACCCACCAAGACTACAACCTAAATTTTGTATCCTTGACTTATTTGGCACTGAGGAGATAGAGCTAAAAAGACCGCATTCATTAGGAGGATGGATTCTGGAAGCCAGATCTGATTCACTTTAAGTACAATGAGTTCACAACATGAACAGCTCTGAAATGAAACTCTGTTGACCTGTGATGCTTTTTGTCATTGTTGTTTCTGAGGCATCTTAATGAGCAACATGCTCTTTTTGTTTTCTTTTCATATGTGACCTCTCTTCTAATTCTCTGTCCTTGTCCAACACTCAGACATGAGGAAACCAGTGTGTGTATTGATCAGACATATCTGGTACATCAAGGGACCATAAAGTAGTTGATCTATGGCTTAGCCTTTGCTCTTGCCCTGGGAGTGGTTGGATATCGGGTGGAGTTCCATGGGAGAACCAAGTATACTTTTCCCCCTTAAAAAACATTTTGATTATTCATTAGAACAATCTTACAGAATAAACCTTTGTATTACATCTTACTGATACCAAAACTTGAAGAAAAAGAAGTCATGTGATTTGTGTCCTAATTCTGTAAGAGTCGGGGGAGAGAGATGGTAACCAGAAAACTACCAGATGAAAATTCTCAAGATAAGTCTCTGTGTCTGATCTGTTGAATTATTTCACTTACCCTTGGGGTGAACTTCTATTTTTCAATGGTAAATTTAATTATTTGTTATCCATTCACTAAGTTGGTGACATAGTCTTGGCATTACCTCTTCAGGGTGTTTGCAGGAGTCTTCTTGGTTGGCCCTATCCTATGTCTTGCCCTAGACACAGCCCACAGAGCAGTTGTGTCTTTCCTTTGCAGGAATATGCATGTTCATCCTTACCTCTGCCTCCTCCAAACTCCACAATGCAGAGTTTTGGGTATGCAGGATAAGTATAACAACACATAGCCAAAGACCATGTGTTACTAATTATTGATTGCAAAGGCACAGAACTAAGTTCTTAACAATCTGTGGAATTTGCTTCTGTGACAGTTTTGCTCCTAAGAGAAATTTTAAAGTTCTTAGAGGCCTTGGATCACTTAGTTTCAAACTGTAGGTTCTGATCCATTAGTGAATCTTGATGTCAATTTGTGGATCTAGGCCAGTGTTAAAGAAAGAACAAACAAACAAACAAAAAAAAATAAAGAAGGAAAGAAAGAAAATAGAATACAAGAGAGAATCCACATTGCACATAATAATATTAAAGTATTTATTTATGATGCTTTTATTTGTATGTATGTAAGTGTGACATCTACCCTGTAGACAGTTTAAAAAAAAAACATATGGACATATGTGGCTCTTTATATATTACTAACCTGTTTCCCCCTGCTCCCTACTCTATATCACCCCAGATTTACTATGAATATCTTAGGTTGGTTCCAGAGTACATGTACTCATGTTTAAAACCCCAACCAGGTAATGGACAACTAGGATTCAAGACTCACATTGGAATAATGTTCTAATTGGTCCTAGGTGTCCTGGAGGGCAGTGCTTTGGGCCTGGGTCTTCAACTTGCCTTTGGGATTTTGGTCATCAGAACTGATCCTCAATTTAATGCACTTCAATGGCTGGGAGACCAGGTTCAGGTATGAGAGACTGAATGTGAGGGTTCTGCTCTTTTATAACCCTAGAGAAAGGAAATTTAGGGGAAGCATGAGCAGGTTGGGCTGTGTCTTGTTAATGATGGTAGTAGGAGATCTGGTAGGAAAGTAAAAAGTACACTGGGGTACAACTAACCATATGCATAAAGGGAACTGAACAGCTGAGTCCTATGTCATTAAATGAGCAGCTCATAAGGACATAGCCCTCCCTCCACTTAGTAGCGGCAGTAGGTCCTAATCATGCATGAGGCCAATCCCCTCTCCCTTGCATCCTTCCTGGCTTCACTTTTGTTTACTCTTTCTTTCTTTCAAATTTTCCTGAACTATACTGTGGCTGGCTCCAATTTTGATATGTCAGTGAAGAATATCATTGCTTTTCAGCTCATATAAATTTTCATGGGGAGGAATGAGAGTGTCAGTGTTGGGAGAGGTGTAGAGGATGAAAATGTGAGTCCAAGAGATGAGCCAGTATATATGTCAGTTTGACTCTAAGAAGAGAATTTGATCCCATCAGTAAAGGAAACAGCATCAATCTCTTGCCCATTGATTATTATATTTGGAAATTGGAATGAAATAGGGGTTGGGGAGGAAGGCTCAGAAGACCCCTTGTGGCTTAGTACTGATGGGATAATAGATTTGTAGTACATTTAAATGTATTCCTGAAATAGCCTGTGTTTAAATATCTACTGAGTACCTACACTGTATCAGCTATCCTTGGGATGCTAAGAGCTTAATTCAGAGGCCTGCAATGAAGTTCACTTATGGCATACATGAACACATTCAGTGTAACATCTCACCAGATGCCCTGTCATTCTTTTTATGGACCTTACCAATCATCCCTTTCTTTGGATGCATGATGCCCATTCTCTACTACCTGGGTGTTACAGAAGGTGAGTCATCTCCTATACCACTCAGGGTGGGCTTTCATCTTGTGATCTGTCAAGAGGCAAAGAAATGACACTTTTTGGGGCACCTGGGTGGCTCAGTTAATTAAGACTCCAACTTCGGCTCAGGTCATGATCTCATGGTTTGTGGGTTTGAGCCCCACGTCGGGCTCTGTGCTGACAGCTTGGAGCCTGGAGCTTGTGTCGAATTCTGTGTCTCCCTCTCTTTTTGCCCCTCCCCCACTTGTGATCTGTCCCTCTCTGTCAAAAATAAACAAACATTAAAAAAAAAACTTAAAAAAAAAGAAATGACACTTTTGACACTTATTCTGGAAAAATGCTCATATGTAGGATGTAGAGTGGTAAACCCAATGTGAAGAGGCAAACCCTTTCAAGCATACCTGATTTCAGATGGTCAGGTCCAGGCCCTATGTAGGCTGAGGGTCAGAGCAGGGACAGAAAATAGGCTGGACTACTATTTCATAATTAATTTATTTTAATATACTTGTTCTGGAAGCCAAGAGTCCTGAGTTCTGGTCCAGGCTCTGCTTGTAACTTGCTTTGTGGTCTTAAGCTTGTCACTCTACTTCTCTAAACCTTAGTTTCCTTACCAATAAAATGGAGGAGGGGTTTTGCTGGAGACTCTCTAACATTCCTGCTAATGTTAATGCTTTAGGTCTTTATATTCCTTTAGGTCACCTGGTTTTTGCAAATCACCATGAGTACCACTTGTCACAGATACCCTGGCTGTGGCAGGAAACATCTTTGAGGGGTTGGTAAGCACTCGAAGGCATTTTGATCTTCTTTTCTTTGGGGAACACAAAGTGGAGCAGAAAACAGATTGAGAGAAAGTATGCTTTCTGGTAAGTCAAATAGATGAGGACTGTATGGGCAGCCAATCACTGATAAAAGAAAACTCAGAAGCTCCAAGGGAACTCTGCTCATTGCTTTCACACTTCATGCCTTCATACTTCAAACTTATCTGGGCACCCTTATTCTGGATATCCTTAACCACTGACCCATCTTTTTACACAGGAATGCATGGAAATGTCCTGGTCCAACTTTTCTCCTTCTTTGGGGACTATGACAGATATTTGCCCTATATTCTGGTTTCTCTCTGAGACCCTTGTTTTCCAGTATCTCTAATGAGGCAATAGCTTACCTTGCTCAGGGCTAACATGAAGTCTCTCTCCCATAATACTTATTTGATACATTTGTCTCTATGGAGTAGGTGCTCAGCATATGCTATTATTGACTGCTCAGCTCAATGCCTGGGACGATAGCTTGTCAAATTGGCATGAAGTTAGTATTGAGGTCTTTGTCTCCCAAAGCTTAGGCTAATTAACTGTTTCTGAAATGTTCTTAGGGTACTTCTGCACACTTCTACCATAGCACTTCACATTTTGCTGCAATTATGTATTATCAGCTTAGTTTCTTCTGCTAGACTCTTAACAGCAGGAACTTTGCCTTAGTCATATTAATATCCCTATTATCTTGTACAGCAGTAGGCATATAGTTAGGTCTTCATACTTTCACAACATTTTCACAGCCTTTTAAATTGAAGTATAATTGACACACAGTGTAACGACAAACATGGTTTCTTTTGATTCTTTCATCAACACCGGGCTCTAATAATCTATTTGCAATTCATTTAATAAGTACTTTTTAAGCAGCTAATATGTACTCCATAAGGTCATTCATTAAGTATATGGCTTTAGACACTGAGAGCATACACAAGAAAGATACCATTTCCTTTCTATAGCTTTTTAAAATTTAAATTGATGAGACAAACTCATGTGAAAACATGAGAACAATGCCAGCCAGGATATGAGTAGGTGCCAGAAGGAGTGAGACAGACACTGGGAAGGTCTGACAGCAGAGCTGAGTGCTGAAAGGGCACTCACACTGGAGGGATGTATCCCGGGGTATGGGGTGGGCACTCTGGGGCTGGGGAGCCACACCCTCCTGAATCTGACACAGCTCTCCTTGTTTAATGACAGAGGCACCCCTGCTCATCTGCTATGTCTTGCAGACACGATGCCCTCTGAAATCCATGCAGTGATGACTGGAAGGTTTGCCACCATTTTGGGCATTGTGTTGGGATCCTCCAAATCCTTCGGGGCAGGCATAGTCTGATGACACCCTGCTGAGCTTTAGTCTGGGTTCTACAGATACTGATTCCTAAGTTTGGCCTTACTGATTGATGCATCATCCTTGCTTGATTTCTGCCTCTATGATGGCTGCTCCTTCTGCTCTTGCCTTGTCAAACTGATAACTTGGATGAGTCCAAGTTCAAGAATATGGAGGAGGTAAAATCACCCTATGCATGAGTCCAATGAAGCATATAATTTGAGGGGGTGGTGAGGTCAAGTGCAGGGTCAAGAGTGGTGTGATGGCAGAGGCTTCAAGTCTCTTGGAGAAGTAATAAAATGATTACATATCCCCTCTTGTCTACCTCTGCCTCTAGCTAACCATGTTGATTTCCCTCTTTTATTTAATACTTCCACCAGCCTCTATCTTCTACATGCCATTATCCTCTATCCTTGATGTCAGTATAATTTCATGGCAATTCAGTCAGATATTGTTTCACTGTGATTGCCACCAAACCCCTTTCACCTCTTAAGCTGGTCTTGCCTCTCCTCCTGTGTTCCTGGACTGCAGGGACCATGGAATTTCTCTTCTCTGAGGGGCTGAGACTACTCTAGACACCATATTCTTCCCTTAGGCCCAATAACCACAGGAAGGAGAAGAATGTCCTGGAAGCTATCAGTAATGAACCATGGATGCCATAGACCATTTTGGTAATGTAGCAGCTATCCTCATTGCCTTTTAATGGGCGTGTTGTCCTACATCAATGTTGCCCTCTCCTGGCTAGGAGAATTGGTAGACATTCAGAAACTCCCTTTCCAGATAAAGGGTTACATTTGTTGGGCTATCCCTCTAGTTGTGGTTAAGTAGTGCTTTGAACTGTACATACCCTGCCCCTTAGTGAGCTAAGAGAGAACATGGATAGGAGAAGGGTGGAGGAGACAGAGTCAAGACTCCAGAGAGAGTCCTTGGCTCCAGGACTCCTTTTCCTTGGATATCTCTTTCTTTCACCCGGGTCAACTGCTCCTACATACTAAAGCCCATGGTTTTCATGATGGGTGTAGAGTGGGGCAGACTATTCTGTGAGTATGATGGTGGAGATCAAGTTCTTCACAAATGAGTTGGTGGCTTGTCAGCAACTGTCTCAATATAAGAACAAACATCTTTCTGCAGAAGAGTGGATTGGGGGAGAGAAACAGTGGATTTCTGTAAGTGAGAATCCTGAAAAGCACAAATAGTCTGTGGGCAGAAAGAACATGTTAAACAAAAGCTTGTTTCATACTTGCAGATCCCTTCCCAGTGTCCCAGCCCTAACCAGAAAGCAAGCATAACTTTACACTTAGCTCCAATACCCAAGCTTCCCTGAGGTCTTCTTCCAACACTGTCTGACCCAGCCTCTCTCTGTAATGTAATTAATTGTTGGGTCTTCACAGTCGGGGCAGTCCAGGGTGGACACTGATGGTCTAAGGTCCCTTCTTCATTTATAAGTTTAAGTTGCCATAAATTGATCTCCTTTTCTCTCTCTCCCTCTGTCTTTCCCTTCTTGATCGTTATCATTCCTAGGCCTTCTCCTTATTCACAGGCTTCAACAAGAAGAGTGTTGGGCAAAGAGGCCCATGGTCGTTTCCATGTAATTATCCCTGTAACAACTCAGGAACTGATTATTTTCTGAGCATCCTTTCCACATTCTTTAGGGTAATGTGGACTAGATTGGGGTTCTAAGTACTCTGGAACTTTTATCCTGATTATATGAGTGCACACAAGGGACTGAGTTTATTTACTTATTTATTTTTATTTCCCTAAGTGACAGCTGAAATCATTATATTTTCACACTGTGGATTTGCTAATCTCAGTTCCATAGGAATCATACTGGGAGGGTTGAATGAGTTAATTCATTTTCCCAACTACCCAATAAGCCAACCAGATCCCAGTGGGCACTACTGGTACTTCAGTACAACTTGAGACCAGATAGAGAAGCTGATGTGAAATGGGCCCTCTCAGGCAGCAGTTAATTTGGAGTTAAGGCAACCATGATACTGGGCTATGCATGGATCCCATCTGGATTTACAATGTTAATTTTTGTGACTTTTTTCCCTTTTGACTGGAGGTCCAAAAGACCAATTTTATTTTTATTTTTTTCTATGAGGAAGATTGTAATGATACATTTTTCTTTTGCCATTAAATGGGCATAGTGGATATATAAGTAAAGATATTTGGGGTTCTATTCAGTAGCAAAAGTCCCTTTGGAAATTAGGGTACTCACCAGCTACCTTCATAGAAATAGAAGTTGCACAAGGAATCAAAATACAAATAAAAACAGTGCACACATAAGGCAGATAGACAGGAAGTCCAAGTGGTATGAAGCGTTGGATTAAAAGCTACAGGTCATCAGGTGTAGGAGGTGTAAGTATGTAAAGCAGGCACAGATACAGTTAGACTACTGAAGATATTGCTGAATGTGGGTGATGATTGCCAGAAAATGATATGAGGAAAGTGGAATTGTCTCTGAGGGTAGCAGTAGGGAGAATGACTAGCATTCTAAGAGTTTAGAAGTTCCAGGTTAGAAATAATGTATAAAAAGAAATACACTTCAGTGTGTCCATTTTTTATGGCACTCATATTCTGGAATAGAACCATTACATTGATTTATTTGGTAGCTGATTGAACAACTTAAAAGTGAAACAATTTCATTTCAGTTTATCTTTTCCTTTCTGTTAAACAACTGGCTGGATTCTAATCCTGATGCCTGGTTACTGTCTGACTGCAATTGCCATCCAGTAGTGGGAAATGAATCATGTGGCTGAGGTTTAGGTGAATGTTGCCTTCCTTATCCCTCTGGCTCAAAGCAGTCCATCTAATTCTGGTCCTGGCTTAAGAATGCAGATCTCATCTAGTGAACACCCAAGGATCTGTGCCTGCCTGCAGCAATGAAGAGCTTTGCTTGATCCATATACATCTTAGGAATGTTCACAGAAGCAATGAAGTTAGGGTCATATACAAATCCTTGACCTAGGGCATTTCTGAGTTAGTGACCCATCAGGATTAATGTATAAAACACACTTGTTGGGGTACCATTGGCTGGCTTCTGGTGGTCAGTGGTAGGGATCGTATTCATCTGCTGTGTTTGTTCCTCTGCATTCTTCTAGGTGGGTGCTCACTGGGTATACCTGATTGCCTGGTGGGGAAGAGATCAAGTTATTGTGTTTTGTTGTCTATAGCATCAATGGTACTCCACCAGAAGAGTGACTTGTTTCCAAGGTTGAGGTCAGTGCCCTCTTCACAGGGGCCTATGTATCCTTTATCGCTGCCTGTGTGGCACGTAGGCACCTCAGCTTAGTCTCTTGGCAGAAATCCCTTACCTAGATCCCAAAAAAAATCTCTCTGAGAATATTGATTTAACCATCCATCTCAAAGATGCATAGAAAAGGCATCTAAACAACATTCTCAATTCACACCCAAGAATTAAGAGCCTTAAGGAATATGTGTAAAGTCTTTTTCTTAGTAATTCTGTCTTCCTTATGTAGGAATCTTCTATGTCCCCAGGGAGCTGAAACTGACTGTGTCTCCTTCCTAAACACAGGTTTCACCAGTAGCACCTACAAGGCCTATGTGTGCTGCAAAGACCTCTTTCGGAGTTGAGTGAGCACCAAGATTCCTGCTCCCTTCTCTTGTACTCTATTCTCCACTCAGGAATTTTCTGGGAGTGGGGAGAAATAAGGTCTCGATAATCATGTGGATGCTAATATAGTATATGAAAAGAGATTGGTATATGTGGTAGTCTAGATTTGTGTCCCTTTCTCTCATTAGGTGCATCCTCAGTAGTAGCTCTAGTATGCATAAGTGACAGATTTTACCTGTATTGGTAGGGTACTGAGAAGTGGAGGGCCAGAGGAAGAAGTAAGGAAGGGTGGTTTCCCTGAGAAGAAGGTACTGTATTTATGTGACTGGAATATAGATAGGTTGTAGGTAAAGATTTGGCAGTGCTTGGGATTCTTTCTTTCCTCTCTCTCTCTCTATCCCTGCCTCACTCACATGCATGCTCTCTCTCTCTCTCTCTCTCGAAATAAATAAGTAAACTTAAAAAAAAAGAAAAAGAAAAACCATCAATTCATAAAGGAAGAGAGAAAGAGACGAAGAAGGAAACAAAGAAACTACTATAGAGCCAGAAAACAACAAATTTTCAATAGTAAGTCCATACCTATCAATAATTACTTTAAATGTAAGTGGACTAAGTTTTCTAATCAAAAGAGATAGAGTAGCTGAATGGATTAAAAAGAAAAAAAAGTCCTAACTATATGCTATCTCTAAGAGACTCACTTCAGCTTCAAAGACATACAGACTGAAGGTGAAAGGATGGGAAAAAATATTCCATGAAAATGGAAACCGAAAGAAAGCAGAGGTAGCTATACTTACAATAGACAAATAGACTTTAAGCTAAAAACTGTAACAAGAGACATTATATAATGATAAAAGGGTCAATTCATTAAGCAGCTATAATAATCATAAATATTTATGCACTTAACATAGAGCACCTAAAGATATAAGACCAATACTAACAGATCTGAAGAGAGAAATAGCAATACAATAATAGTAGTGGACTTCAGTACTCTACTTTCAACAATGGATAGATCATCCAGACAGAAAATCCACCAGGGAATTTAAACTACATGTTAGACCAGATGGACCTAACAGACATTTACAGAACAGTCCACCCAACAGCAGCAGAATGCATGTTCTTCTCAGTTATACAGGGAGATTATCTCATAGATCATATGTTAGGTCACAAATCAAATCTTAATAAATTAAAGAAGGTTGAAATCATATCAAGCATTTTTTTCTGACCACAATGCTATGAAACTAGAAATCAAGAACAAGGAAAAAAACTGGTAAACTGCCCAGTATGTGGAGATTAAACAACATACTCCTGAATAGTGGGTCAAAACAAAAAAATCAAAAAAGAAATTAAAATATCTTGACTCATAACAAGGAAACAAAATTGTAGCTATGTGAGATGATGGATGTTAACTAAACTTAATCATGGTAATCATTTCACAATATATACATACATCAAAGTATTATGTTGCATACCTTATATCTATACAGTGTTATATGTTAATTATATTTAAGTAAAATGGGCGAATATTTGAGAAAACTATTGAGACAAATGAAAATGGAAACACCGCACACCAAAATTTAGGAGATGGAGCAAGAGCAGTTCTAAGAGGAAAGTTTATAGCTTTTATACATTAATAAAGTTTATACATTAAAGTTTATACATTATTAAAAAGGAAAGATCTCAAAATAAACATATTTAACACTTCAAGGAACTAGAAAAGAAGAACAAACTAAGCACAAAGGAAAGAACAAAATCAGAACAGAAATAAATGAAATAGAGGCAAAAGAGACAATAGAAATGATCAGTGAAACTAAGAGCTGGATTTTTAAAAAAAAAAAGATGAACAAAATGGACAAAATTTCAGCTAAGAAAGAGAGACGGAAGACTCAAAATTAGAAATAAAAGAGGAGATATCACACCTGATAACATAGAAATACTAAGGATCATAACAAACTGCTACAAACAATTATACTGCAACATACTAGATAACCTAGAAGAAGTGGACACATTTCTAGAAACATACAACCTACCACGACTGAGTCAGGAGGAAACAGAAATTCTAAAAAGATTGATTACTAGGAAGGAGATTGAATTGGTAATCAAAATCCTCCCAACAAATAAAAGCCCAGGATCAGATGGGTTCACTGGTGATTTCTATCAAACAGTTAAAAAAGATTTAATACCCATCTTCTCAAATGCTTCCAAAAAACATAAGAGGAGTGAACACTTCCAAACTCATTTTATGAGGCCAGCATTATCCTGATACTGAAGCCAGACAGGGACACCACAAGAAAAGAAAGTTATAGGCTAATATTCCTGATGAATATAGATGCAAAATTTCCCAACAAAATATTAGCAAACTAAATTCAACAGGACATTAAAAGGATCATTCACATAAAGTGGGATATATTTCTGGGCTGCAAGGATAGTTCAACATACACAAATCAATAAATGTGATATACCAGTTTAACAAAATGAAGGATAAAAATCATATCATCTCAATAGATGCAGAAAAAGCACTGAACAAATTCAGTATCCTTTCATGATAAAAACTCCCAACAAATTGGGACAAATGGAATGTACCTCAACATAATAAAAGCCATATATGACAAACCAACAACTAACATCGTACTCAACAGTGAAAAGCTGAACACTTTTCCTCTAAGATCAGGAATATGACAAGGATTCCCACCTTCATCACTTTCATTCAACACAGTACTGTAAGTCAGGGCCAGAGCAATTAGGCAAGGGAAAAAAAACACCTAAATCAGAAAAGAAGTAAAATTGTCTCTGCTTGTAGAAATGACATGATCTTATGTATAGAAAACCCTAAAGACTCCACCAAAAAACTGTTAAGACCTAATGAATGAATTTAGTAAGTTCAGGATATAAAATCAATATATAAAAATCAGTTGTTTTTCTATACACTAATAATGAACTATCGGAAAAAGAAATGGGATTGTAAAATCCCATTTACAAAAATAAAAAAAAAATCCCATTTACAAAGGCATCAATAATAAAATACTTAGGAAAAAATTTAACCAAGGAGATGAAAGATCAGTACACTAAGAACTATAAAACACTGATGAAAGAAATTAAAGAAGACATAAATGGAAAGATGCTCTGTGGTCATGGATTAGCAGCATTAATATTGTTAAAATGTCCATACCACCCAAAGTGATCTACAAATTAATGAAATCCCTATCAAAATTCCACTGGCATTTCTTTTTCATGGAGAAAAAATCCTAAAATTCATGTGGAACCACAAAAGATCCTAACTAGCCAACACAATCTTGAGAAAAAACAAAGCTGGAGGCATCACACTTCCTGATTTCAAACTATATTACAAATCTATAGTAATCACTATAGTGATTCTCATAAAAACAAACACATAGATTAATGGAACAGAATAGACAGCCCAGAAATATAAACCCATGCATGTATGGTCAATTCATTTTTGACAAAGGAGCGAAGAACATACAATGGGGAAACGATGGTCTCTTCAATAAATGGTGCCAGAAAAACTGTATATCCACATGCAAAAGAATGAAACTGAATTCCTATCTTACATCATAGACAAAAATCAACTCAAAATGGATTAAAGAATTGAACATGAGACCTGAAACCTTAAAATTCTCAGAAAAAAACATAGTGGGTTAAGCTCCTTGACATTGATCTTGGCAACGAGTTTTTTGATATGATGCCAAAAGCACCAACAACAAAAGCAAAAATAAGCAAGTGGGACCACATAAAATTAAAAAGCTTCTGCATAACAAAGGAGAACTATCAACAAAATGAAAAGTCAACCTACAGCATGGGAGAAAATATTTGCAAGCAATACAACTCAATAGTAAAAAACCATAATCCAATTAAAAAATGGGCAGAGGAATAGACATTTTTTCTAAAGAAGACATACCAACAGGTACATGAAAAGGTGCTCAACATCACTAATTAGCAGGAAAATTAAACTCAAAACCACAATGAGATATCACCTTATACCTGCTGGGATGGCTATTATCAAAAAGACAAGAGGTAACAAATGCTGGCAAGGATGTGGAGAAAAGGAAACCCTTATACCCTATTGATGGTAATGTAAAATGGTACAGCCTCTATGGAAAAGAGTATGGAGGTTGCTGAAGAAATTAAAAATAGAATTACCATATGATCCAGCAATCCCACTTCTGGGTGTACATCTAAAAGGAAATGAAATCACTATCTGTACTCCCACGTTCATTGCAGCATTATTCACGGTAGCCATGGTATGCAAATAACATATATGTCCACTGACTGATGAATGGATAAAGAAAATGTGGTATATATACACAATGGAGTATTATTCTTCCTTATAAAAGAAGAAAATCCTGGTATTTGCAACAACATGGATAAACAATTATGCTAAGTGAAATAAGCTAGACAAAGACAAATACTGCATTATATCATTTATATGTGGAATCTAAAACAAAAAAAAGTCCAGCAGAGAATCAGAAAGCAGAATGGTGATTGCCTAGAACTTAAAAATTATGTGACACAGTGTGCTGTAAATGTGGTTTGGTATATAACATACTGAGATAAAAAGCTATATTTCTTAGAGTTCTGTGGATGAGCTGAGTTTATGGTACAAACGGTACATATGAAAGTTACATGAATATTTAATGATACAATTTTCTGGTTGTCACACATTTGTATGTAAACCTGCAAACTCCTTAACATTATTACACAGTAAACAAAAAATATCTCCTGTATGCAAACTTGCAAGGAACATACATTTCTTAAAGGCCTTTACTTTGAGTGTTTTGTTTTAGTGACAAACTTGCTTCACGTATACAGAGAATCCTTTAAAACAATGGGTTTCAGTGGTAAGAGGGGGAAATTTTGCCACGCAGAGGACATTTGGTGATATCTTGAGACCTTATTAGTTGCCACAACTTGGGGAATGCTACTGACATCTACTGGGTAAAGGCCAGAATTGTTGCTAAACATCTTCAAATGCACAAGTCAGTCCCCACAACAAAGAATTCTCTGATCTTATTATCAACATTGCCAAGTCTGATATACTCTGATTTAAAATGTTTAATATATTTCATATATCTAATATTATTTATAATATGAATAATACTATAGCCTTAAGAATGAGTTTCAGAAGGATGCAGGGGTTCCTTAAAAAGTTAAACATAGAATTATCCCATGGCCCCCCAATTCCACTCCTACCTAGGTATATGCCCAAAAGAACTGAAAACAGGTATTCAAACAAGTACATGTGCAGGCACGTTCATAGCAGCACTATTCATAATAGTCAAAATGTGGAAACAATCCAAATGTCCATCAATTGCTGAATGGATAAACAAATGGTGTTATATACATACAATAGAATTTTATTCAGCCATAAAAAAGCATGAAGTACTGATATATATGCTACATGATGTAACCTAGAAAACGTTATGTTAATTCAAAGAAGCCAGACACAAGTCTTATTATTGTGTGATTCTATTTTGTATGATTCCATTTATATGAAATATTCAGAATAGATAAATCCATAGAGACAGAATACAGATTGGTGGTTACCAAGGACTGGGGGAAGGGAGGAATAGGGAATGACTATTCAAAGAATGTTAAGTTTTACTTTGGGATGGTGGAAATGTTGTCAATATTCACAATATTGTGAACGCCCTAAATATCACTTATTTTTCACTTTAAAATAATTTTACGGTATGTGAATTTCTCCTCAATAAAGTACACACACACACATACACATCTATCTATCTATCTATCTATCTATCTATCTAGATATAGATATATTAAACATGGATATGGGTATTTGTATGTTCCCATAGCTAATCTACTTTCTTCTCCTTTACAATTATCTGAGCTCAGAACCTCCTGGTCTTCTTTCCAGTCTCCACTCCTCTCTCTTCTCCCATATTTTCCAAACTTGACATAAAACAAAACGAAGCCCCAATAAACTGCTTCTTGACCTGAACAATAACAATTTTACCCTAGCCTGGTTTCTTTCTGAGAGGCAGTGCAGTGCAGTGGTGGGTGGTACTGGACAGTAGGCCGGGTTCTGACTGGGGCTCTGCCACTTACCCCTGGGTGATCTTGGCCAAGTTCCTTAACTTCCTGAGTTTTTGGCATCCTTGTCTATAAAATGGGGATAATGGAACCTGCATTCTAGGTAAAGGTTTTACCTAGGTGGGGTTTTAAAGGGATCAAAATAGTGCTCACTGTTAAGCCCAATGTAAGGGTTAACTACTATTATTACTACTTAAAGAACTGAGTTCACGACTATTGATTTGAGTTATGTATGCAATTTAGCCCACACAGGGAAGAATGCGGGACGGAGAAAGCTCTATATCTCCTTGCATAGGTAAGGGCCTGCTTTCTGATTCTCCGTTTCCTATTTAAAGAAAATCTGGTCTAAACTCTCGCACATATAGGACCGCACTGCAATAGCAGGAAGCCTGACAACACCATCACCTGCAAAAACAGTCTCACAAGCGGGAGGAGCGAGCAGGAAAATCTGGTACTGAACTCAGCAAATCTGGTACTGAACTCAGCAAATGCTACGCCGACCCCTAGGGCTAAGAGGCACCCTCAGAAGGCTAAAGTAATTTGGTCAGAAGAAGACTGGGCGGCGCAGTGCTTCCTGGGAGGCGCGCAACGGAGACCAAACGCTCTCGGGCTCCTTCCTGGGGGCGGGGCAAACGTGCCACTCGGCGTCCTGGGAAGCGCCAGAGCGCCTGCGGCAGGTTTCCGCATGGAAGTCTCACCCTTTCCCCGTACCCCACACCCGCAGCTCAGGTACAGGATTCTCAAGCAGAAAAGGGTGGAGGCTAAGGGAGAGCGGGCAAGAGAAAAGAGGACCGGAGAAGTGGGGTTTGTGGAAGGGGGCCTCTGGTGGGATGTGGGGTATCAGTGTGGAAAGGAGACCTTGGGCTTGAGGAAAGGAGGAGAGTGGCAGACTGGGTCACTGAATGGGTGGAGTCGGATTTCTAACCACTGGAAAGCGTCTCGTGCATATTGTTCCACAGCCTGACGTCTTTGCTTATGTGTGGGGCCGTCTTTCTAGGCCAGTACATACAGATCTCCCTCGTTTATTTTATTGGCTACATGGTATTTATTACATATAAGGAGGTACGCTAAGGTATGTGTTTCCTTATGCATGGACATTTAGATTGGCTTATATTTGGCCAGTTATTTCTAGAGACTTGAGGTAGGCAAAGTTTGTGTTTGACTCCCACTTCTGACTCACCTTTAGATTCCTGATCTACCCTTAGTGAAAGCCCTTGGCTAAGCTAGTGGTTGTCAAGCATTTAAAGGGCTATCGCCTCTGTGGGAATAATTGCCTTTTAAGACAGGAATACAAAGATTAGGAGCCAGAAGATCTGGAGTCCTGACCAGAGTCCCTATGCAGCCATGTAAGTGGTCTTAGTCTAGTTCTATTTCTGCATATTGAATGTGATGATAATCATATGTACCTTACAAGCTGCTAGAAATTTGAATTAATGCATGTGAAAAAACCATATTGTGTAAATGGTAAGGTGCTCCAAAGATATTCTTTTTTTTTAAATTTTTTAAATGTTTATTTATTTTTGAAAGACACAGTGACAGTGAGAGCAGGGGAAGGGCAGAGAGAGAGGAAGACACAGAATCCAAAGTAGGCTCCAGGATCTGGGCTATCAGCACAGAGCCCAACATGGGGCTTGAATCCACAAACTGTGAGATCATGACCTGAGCCAAAGCCGGATGCTTAACCCACTGAGCCACCCAGGTGCCCCAGATATTCTTTTCACAAGTAAAGTGTAAGGACCTTATATAGAGAGGCTTTGTTTCTTTATACATGAACATTTGCTTGGTACTTATCACTCCTGGCATTGCTTAACAAGATTTACATTTTTTTTTCTTTTCCCTCCATTTAATCCATACAACAACCCTTTGAAGAAGGTACTAGTATTATCCCAGTTTTCCTTTTTCTTTTTTTAATGTTTGTATATTTTTGAGAGAGAAAGCATAAGTAGGGGAGGTACAGAGAGAGAGTGAGACAGAGGATCTGAAGCAGGCTCTGCACTGACAGCAGAGAGCCCGACATGGGGCTTGAACTCACAAACCACGAGATCTTAACCTGAGCCAAAGTCAGCCATTCAACTGACTGAGCCACCCAGGTGCCCTTTTCCGAGTTTCCTCCTTTTCAAAGGAGGAAAGATAGGCTTAAATTAAGTTGCTTAATTAATTAAATTAACTTGCTCCCTACAGTCACATAGTAAGTGACAGAGCTGGGATTTGAGCCCAGGTGTGACTGATTCTAAAGCCCTTACTCTTGGGGCGCCTGGATGGCTCAGTCGGTTGAGTGTCCGACTTCGGCTCAGGTCATGATCTCATGGCTTGTGGGTTTGAGCCCCTGCATCGTGCTCTGTGCTGACAGCTCAGAGCCTGCAGCCTGCTTCAGATTCTGTCTCCAGCTCTCTCTGCCCCTTCCCCACTTGTGCTCTGTCTCTAAAATAAATATACATTAAAAAAAAAATTAAAGGCCTTACTCTTAATCACTATGTCCACTCTTATAACATCTCAGCCCTTCCTGCCTTCCTTCCTTCTCCATTCCAGGCCCACAGGTTTAACCCAAATGATCCCATCAGTTTCTAAAGTATTTATACTTTCTGAACTACTTGTGTGCCAATCATGTCCTGCTGTGTGGCATCTTTTGTATTTTTGTCTCATTTTGCTATTTGTCTTACTGTTGGCTTCTGTTGCAGCAAGTAAAAAAATGATTGCTATTCAAGCTAGCAATTCCCTCAAAGACAGAATTGTCTTCATTCAACAAGTTGCTTTTATCAGCTCTCTGAGTGTGGAGCTTCATAGGAGCAGAGAGCAAATCTGTTTTGTTACCAAAGCCGTAGGAGCTAGCACTGTGCCTCACACACACACACACACACACACACACACACACACACACACAAGTTGTTTAATATTTGTGAAGAACAAAGAAGATGAAACTCCAAGGGTTTGGGCTTGAATACCTGGGACACAACAAAAGGAGAGGAAATGTCTGCCAAATCAAAGAACACAGATAAAGCACTTATACTTCCTGGTACAAAGTAACATTTTTTATTTTTTAAATGTTTACTTATTTATTTTGAGAGAGAGAGAGAGATTGAGAACGTGAGTGGGGGAGGGGCAGAGAGAGAGGGAGGGAGAGAAAATCCCAAGCAAGCTCTGTGCTATCAGCTCAGAGCCCGATACAGGGCTTGAACTTGCCAACCATGAGATCATGATCTGAGCCAAAATCAAGAGTTAGAAGCTTAACTGACTGAGACACCTGGGCACTCCCAAAATAGGATTTTAAATCCATGTTAGTTATTATTGCTACATAAGTATAATATGAATAGGTTTGTGGAAAGGTAGAAAATGGGAAGGCAAAAAAAAAAAAAAAAAAAAAAAAAAAAAAGGAAGAAATGGAGCAAAATGATACTGGGCTAGGGCTATTTGTGAAGAGATGGCCAGTGAGGACTTCTCATAGGCAGAATAGGACAAAGGGCATTTAAGAACAAGGATACCGGGGCACCTGCATGGCTCACTTAGTTAAGTGTCTGACTCTTGGTTTCCACTCAGTTCATGATCTCATGGTTCATGGGATTGAGCCCTGCATTGGGTTCTGCAGTGACAGTATGAAGCTTGCTTGGGAATCTCTCTCTCCCTCTCTCTGCTCCTCCCCTGCTCATGCTGTCTTTCTCTCTCTCTTAAAATAAATATACATTTAAAAAAAAAGAGAAAACAAAGGTACCTAATATCTACCCTGCCTTAACCCCAACAGTTTTGCCCTCAAATCTTCAATAAAAGTCCACTCTCTATATATTCCACTGCCAGTGGTATTTTGGAGAATACCTCCAATATTTTGGAGAATTCAAGAATTCAGAGGGTGTGCAGTGTTGATGGTGTGGTATAGGCAGTCCAGTCAACAGAGATTCTCATTTAGGATGCTGGTGCAAAACCATTTCCATTAAGTCTTATAGGATGGGAGATTCTCCAGTGGATGACTTTTGGGACATCAAGACAGCTAAACCTAAAGTTACACTTCTGTGGTTATTCTATTTATTCTGTGTACATTGTATGTATGTCATGTCCTCCCAGCTGGATTGTAAATTTTTGCAACTAGAAATGACAAGAAATGAGTAGAATTTGTATGGCACTTTTCTATGTTTGAATTTCTTTTCTTTACACTAACTCACTGAAATTAACAAAACCTTTTGTGGTAGGTGTGATGGTGTCATGGTCCAGCCCCCCTCCATTTTAAAGACAAGGACAATCAGGCAGACAGAGGTTAAATACTTGCTTTTGGTTACAAAGCTAACAAGGACCTAAGCCAGCCTTGTATTGTGAAAAAGGACATGCCTTATTAAGGATTTTCACTCTCTGGATGATATCTAGCTTTCCAATCTCCTTCTTACCACTGTCTCATGCCACCTGTCCAAGTACATGATCACCACACAGAACTATTGACTTTCCCTAAGAAATCTATACCTAAGTGACTTTGGAAAAGGCACCTAACCTCTCAGAGCCTCTGTTCTCAGTTATGCAAATGAAGATAATAATGGCTTTGTTAAAGTGTTGTTGTGGAGATTAAATGTCTTAACCTTAAAGCACTTGGAACATAAAGATGTTTAAAGAATGTTCTCTCCTTGGTTCCCTGGCTTTCTTTCTCTTTAATATCTTCCAACTTAAAGTTCAATACTTCCTGCAGAATTCTACCATATATTCCTTATATTTCTCTGCAACTTTGATGACACCTGATTCCATATCCTGTGCAAGTCCTACCACTCTTCCTGGGACCAAAGATAGTCTCAGAAGGGGCCAGAGGCTGGTAGCTAGAGGCTGCTCGGGATGGCTTGAAGCATCCAGACAGGAGCCTCCTGCCATGTTTAGGGCACAAGGCCAAAGATCAGAACTGATGAAACCAAATCTGTTCTTAGGTGATGGGGATGATGTAGATCAGGGAAAAGAGACAACTAGGTCATCAAATGAATTCAAAACAAATACGAGACATTCATGGTAAACACTAGTCATCAACAAGAAGAGCATGACATAAGAAATTACATTAGAAGAATTACATGACATAAGAAGCTTACCTTTTTCATTAGACTGAGTAACTTCTATCAGTTTTTATTTTTAAAAACTCAACTCTTGCTTCCAGAAAGGCAAAGGCATATTTTTGAATTCCCCAAATTCACTTTTTCACTGTCTCAAAGACGGCTCATGTTTATCACATTCAAAAGTACAGAGATTTACTTTGACTATAAAAATCCTTTCCATATATTTTAAGCAGGAATCCAAACAGGAATATTGAAGCCATTTTTAACTTAGAGAACAGTAATTTCTTTGCTGAAATCATATTTCTACTTGTCAAGAGCTGTCATTCCCTCAGGGGAAGTAAACATTTATGTCTGTGGCACTGAATGCCTCATAAAGAAACATTAGAGGAGGGTAACCCCTTTTCCATGGTGACAAGACTGATTTGAATTATTCATTAAGTGAAGGATATTCATTTATGATTAACCAAACTCAGGATGATGCAGGAAATTTCCCAAAGAACATATTATCCTTCAGATATTTTACAATGGAGGGCTCCTGTATTCATGGTTTTAGAAGCAAAGTATGACTCTGTGAATGGGGAAATTATCCTTCAGCTACATGGCTATAACTTACAGAACAAAAAACAATACCAATTTATTTCCTTAGTGGATTTCAGAGACCAGTTAGATGTTTAAAATAATTTTTTAGAGTAGCTAGACAATGGAAGGCATTATGATAGTCATGTTTTTATAAGGGCAAAATGCTCAGCTGCATTGCATAACTGCATCCCGCCTGGCTGGTGGCCACCATTATTATGAATTTGTTGTAAATGCATTTGGCTGCTTGGCTGTCTCCTACTGCTGTAGACAACAGCCCATGGCATTGTTGAACCACTCACATGTGTCTGGCTCTGTATCAAAGTGCTGACTGAGTCCAGCGGTGTTTAATAAAGTCTTAGAAGGGGTAGGAGAA